GAGCTGCCTTTGATAAATGTTGAGAAAGTAGTACTCTCCAGATCCCAGCAGAAAGGAGTCAAGTCCATAGAGATCACTCAAGTAAGAGAGGAAATGGAATAGGGCCATAGGTTAAGACAGGTAAGGTGCAGAGTCCAAGAGGTCAGAGGGTGGCTCTGTAAATACAGCACAGTTAAGCAGGGCCTAACACTGATCCTGCACAGAGACTGTCTGGACTTTGGTCTTGCAGAAGGGGAGCAAAGCCATGAATCTACTCATGCTGATTTGAGCCACAGAAGTCAGAAGCCTGCATATAACCACCAAAGATACTAGGAGGACATCGAATGACCAAAAGCTGCTGCTTGACTTAAGACTTCAGTAAAAGTCACTATTTCTTTCAAGTAGATTCAAAATTTGATCCAACGTCTTGTGTTTTTATAGCATTGACAAATTTGCTAGTGTTTATTTAAAGGTTTATTTTATTTATTTTAAAGATAGAGTTATAGAGAGAGGTAGAGACAGGGAGAGAGGTCTTCCATCTGCTGGTTCACTCCCCAAATGACTGCAGTGGCCGACACTGGGCCTATCCAAAGCCAGGAGCCAGGAGCTTCTTCTGGGTCTCCCACGTGGATGCAGGGGCCCAAGCTCTTGGGCCATCTTCCACTGCTTTCCCAGGCACATTAGCTGGGAGCTGGATTGGAAGTGGAGCAGCTGAAACCTGAATTGGCACCCATACAGGACACTGGCACTGCAGGCCATGGCTTTAACTCACTGTGCCACAGTGCTGGCCCCAAATCTGCTAGCTTGTAAAACCAAGTGAACTCAGATATCCACTGTTCTATTAAAGGGTAAAATTACAATAATTTAATTTAAGGTACTTAATTGGCTTTGTGATTCTAGAATCAGGAAACACTTCATTCTGTAAAACAGAATAGGGAGGCAGCGCTGTGGCGTAGCAGGTAAAGCCACTGCCTGTCATGCCAGAATTCCATATGGGTGCCAGTTCGAGTCCTGGCTGCTCAACTTCCAATCCAGCTCTCTGCTATGGCTTGGGAAAGCAGAAGAAGATGACCCAAGTTCTTACGCCCCTGCACCCACGTGGGAGACCCAGAAGAAGCTCCTGGCTCCTGGCTTTGGATGGGCCCAGCTTTGGCTGTTGCAGCCATTTGGAGAGTGAACCAGTGGATAGAAGACCTCTCTCTTTCTCTGCCTCTGCCTCTCTTCTATACCTCTGCCTTTCAAATGAATAACTAAATCTATAAAAAAGAAAACACAGAGAATAGGTATTCCAATTAACTAAATAGAGGAACTTGGTTTATACAGAGAAGGGCTGAACAAAACAGCAACCAAAAAGAAAAAAAACCCATTGATTATTTCAAAATTACTTTAAGGGAAGTTGTTGGTTTAATAGTTAGGTGCTGGCATCCGATATTGCAATTGCCTGGGTTCAGTGTTAATCTCTGGTTCCTAATTCCAGCTTTCTGATAATGCAGACTCTGAGCTGTAGCAGTGATGATTCAAGAAATTGAAGTCCCGCTACTCATGTGGGAGACCTAGATTGAGTTCCTACCTCCTAGCATTGGCCGCAATCAGGGACTATGGCAGGTTTGGGGATTGAACCAATGGTCATTCTGTCTCTCTCTCCCCACCACCATCTCTTACATCAATCAATCAATCAACCAATCACAGTTACTTTATTTCTAAGGCAGGGACAAGGAGATAGAATAGACAAATAACTGATTAGTTCACATCAGGTTATTTTCAGATAGTTCTTCTGTGTGAAGATTAAAGTAGAGGGAACATTTTTGTCATACCAGTTGAAACCAACCTGTTTGGGGAATTTGGCTGTTACTGCTTTCTCTCCTGATTTCTGGGAAGGTAAGAGAAACAGCTTAGTTTCAACTTGCTGGTGTGGAACTTCAATGTGAGTGGCTGCATTTTGATTTTTACTATGGTCTATTGTGATCCAGTGCAAGAACTTAGACCAAAACAATGGCCTCCTGTGATTTTTATTTAACAAATATAAAACAGGATTAATTTGGCTAGACCATCGTAAATTACATTGTTTGCCAAGTTTGCTGAACTTCTCAACTCTGGTCACAAGCTAGAAAAGTAAACATCTCTGGGTATTGGAAGGCCAGATCACGGTTTGGTTGTATATAGGAAATGGAGCATGCTGGCTCCAGTGCCCCATTTCCAGACTGAAAGGGACATTTCTGCACTGGAGAAAAGAAACAACCACACATGATTATTTTGGGGAATCTACCCTATATCCTGCCCATGAAATAGAGTCTTGATTTTCAGGTCAGCAGGAGGCCCAAGGTGTTCCTAACTGGGTCTCTTTGAATAAGCCTTCCTTGGGCCACCTTAATCTACTGTGGCATTCAGTTTGGGGAAAGTTGTCAGCTCTGAATAGCTGCCAACTCCTCACCTCCCAAACGCCACCCTCTACATTCCAGAGAGTAGAGAATAGATTCCTTGCCCAACTTTGTTGGAAGTTTGCCAACACCTGTTGTTAATAACCACAAGAAGGACCATCTCAGCAACACCCAGGCCTCTGCATTAAGGCCTGTTTTGCAAAGTGACACTGCTCTTCACATTACATCCTGCCTTGTTGGCCCCGCTCCAAGGCCGTAATCTGTTCTTTTGATGAAACGAAAGTTTCATTTCCCTTGACTATACTACTTTGTGGGCAGAGAGCATGGAGAAAATAGATATCACATGGAAAGGTTTGGCCTGAACAGTCTCCATCACTTGCCAGGGAATTGGCATAGCCAGAACTACTACTGTTGATTTACTGTGTGTCAGGTACTGTGCCTTACATGTCTTGTATATTATGTGTTTCATTTACTACAACTGTGTATAGTGTCATTGTCTCCATTTGATAAATGAGACAATACAGACGTTTAAAGAAATCACTCAAGTCTGCATAGCTAGTATGGCAGAATCAAAGGTAGGTATTCACGGAACTGTTTTATTTTCTCTCTGAGCACACAGAAAGATACACTTCCCAGATCTCCAGGCATGTTGGCAAGCCCATGTGATTGAGTTCTGGTCAATGGAATGCAGATGTAATGTACTGCATTTCCAGGTTTAAAACATTAAAACACACAAACGTCCACTTTCTAGTCCTTATCTGCACAGCTGGAAACAAAGGACCCAACCCATCTACACTCCCAAGGACAAGACCCAGATGCCTGGGTAAATAGCTGGAGGATAGCCACTCAAGAGAGCTGACTGGGCTTTATCACTCAGTAATGAGGACAACAAATACATGTTTGCCTCAAGCTGATGACATTTCAGGGTTTGTCACTGCCACATGACCTAGCCTCTCCTGAGTAGTGATACAGCTAGTCGAGTTGTAGTCAGGCTTTGAGCAGATTTGGGCACATGTCTGCCTGAACCAGCTCCTCTACCACTCCTTTACTTCCACCACAAGAGAATCAGAAGAGAATGTCTAGTCTTTCTTTTAAAAAAAGATTTTATTTATTTTATTTGAGAGGTAGCGTTACAGACAGTGAGAGGGAGAGACAGAGAGAAAGGTCTTCCTTCCATTGGTTCACTCCCCAAATGGCTGCAATGGCCGGAGCTGTGCCAATTCGAAGCCAGGAGCAAGGCACTTCTTCCCAGTCTCCCACATGGGTGCAGGGGTCCAAGCACTTGGGTCAGCTTCCACTGCTTTCCCAGGCCACAACAGAGAACTGGATTAGAACCAGTGCTCAAATGGGATGCCAGCACTGCTGGGAGTGGCTTTACCCGTTACTCCACAGCGCCAGCCCCGAGAATTTCTTTTTTTTTTTTTTTCTTTGACAGGCAGAGTTAGACAGTGAGAGAGACAGACAGACAGAGAGAAAGGTCTTCCTTCCGTTGGTTCACCCCCCAAATGGCTGCTACGGCTGGCGCGCTGCACCAATCCGAAGCCAGGAGCCAGGTGCCTGCTCTTGGTCTCCCATGCGGGTGCAGGGCCCAAGCACCTGGGCCATCTTCCACTGCCTTCCCGGGCCACAGCAGAGAGCTGGACTAGAAGAGGAGCAACTGGGACAGAATCCGGCGCCCCGACCGGGACTAGAACCCGGGGTGCTGGCGCTGCAGGCAGAGGATTAGCCTAGTGAGCCGCAGTGCCGGCCAGGCCCCGAGAATTTCTAATCTTTAACCCTGCCAGTGTCCTCATGTGGGAACTCTCCTTCAGTTTTTTCATTTTTCCAATGGTGTTACCTACTCCAGGTTCTTTAACTCACTTGCAAATAGAAATTGACAACAGGCCAATGTCCACCCAGGAAAGGCTTACTGGCTTGTGCTCAGGCACAAGGGAGAAGCACAGCAGGAAAAGGTTCTGTGCACTGGCTCAATGAAGTGAGCTAGGCAGGGGCTTTTACCATGCGGGGTGATGACAGCTCCCCACTGGCACGTTGGGGAGTGTTCTGCATAGGCATGGTTCCTTCTTTTTGCACAGGACATGATCAAAACTGGTGTTGCTCACTATACATTTGTAAAAAACCATGAGTTCATGCTGATACCTTCGATTATAACCCAACATCAGATAGTACATCACCCTCCCTTCCATTGTTTAAAAAATATTTATTTTGTTCATTTGAAAGTCAGAGTTACAGAGACAGAGGGAGACACACACACACATACACACACACCTTCCATCTGCTGATTCATTCCCCTAAATGGCTGCAATGGCCAGAGCTGGGCTGGGCCAAAGCCAGGAGCCTGGAACTCCATCCAAGTCTCCCACGTGGGTGGTGAGGGCCCAAGCACTTGGGCCATCTTCTGCTGCCTTCCTATGTACATTAGCAGGAAGCTGGATCAGAAGTGGAGCAGCTGGGACTCAACTTGGCATTCATATGGGATACTTATAGCCCAACTCACTATACCACAATGCCAAGCCTATCCCCTCCATTTTTGAAATTCCCTGTTCTGTCAGCGAGAGGACTCCTTGTGCCCTCCATATATTTTTTCATTTACTGAAGTCTAACCCACTAGCTACAATACTGTCAATATTTGTTTATTTACAGGGTGCGTTTGAGGAACAGTGGATATGAGCTACACAAATCTCAGGTACATAATTTGATAACTTTGACAAATGCCTATATTCATGTAGCACACACCCCTATCAAAATATAGAATATTTCCATAATTTCCAATGCCTCAGCAATTTCTCTGGTGTTTATTCCCAGTTGACACCCCAAACACAGCCATTTTTCTTCATTTTATTCAACCATAAATCAATTTCATTTGTTTTAGACCACCACATAACTAGAAACATACTGTGTGCACTCCTTCGTGTCTGGCTTCTTTCATTCAGCCTAATGTTCACGCACAGAGGTTCACCTGTGTTGTCCTGTGTATCTGTTGTTGTTGATTAGCATGACTTTGTGCAGATTTGTTTAGCCATTCTGTTGGCATGGGCCTCTGGGTTGTTGCCAGCTTGGTGATTATGAGAACAGCTTCTTTGAATTCTTGCACAAGTCTCTGTACAATTTTTTATTCCTGTCAGCAGTATATGAGAGTTTCAGTTGCCCTATCTTTTTTTTAAAAAAAAAGTTTATTTATTAGATACACAGAGTTACAGAGAGAGGTAGATCTATCTGCAGGATCACTCCCCCAAATGGCTGTTATCAGCCAGAGCTGGGCTGATCCGAAGCCAGGAGTCAAGAGCTTCTTCTGGGTCTCCTATGTGGGTGCAGCGGCCCAAGGACTTGGGACATCCTCTGTTGCTTTCCCAGGCACATTAGAAGAGAGCTGGATTGGCCGGCGCCGTGGCTCAATAGGCTAATCCTCCACCTTGCGGCGCCGGCACACCGGGTTCTAGTCCCGGTCGGGGCGCCGGATTCTGTCCCGGTTGCCCCTCTTCCAGGCCAGCTCTCTGCTATGGCCAGGGAGTGCAGTGGAGGATGGCCCAGGTGCTTGGGCCCTGCACCCCATGGGAGACCAGGAAAAGCACCTGGATCCTGGCTCCTGCCATCGGATCAGCGCGGTGCGCCGGCTGCAGCGGCGGCCATTGGAGGGTGAACCAACGGCAAAAGGAAGACCTTTCTCTCTCTGTCTCTCTCTCTCACTGTCCACTCTGCCTGTCGAAAAAAAAAACACATTTAATTACCCACCGCACCTCTTTCGAGAGCTGGATTGGAAGTGGAGCAGCGGGGACTCCAGCTAGCACACACATAGGATGCTGGTGCTGCAGGCTGGGGCTTTAACCTCCATATCACAGTGCTGGCCCCTACTCTTCAGTTAGGCTCTGCCCTGTGGATGGTGAGGAATCCAGGCTCCCACAGGCGCTGTTCTGTGGTTGTTTGCAAACTCGCCCTGAGGCCAGATGACCCCTAGAGTCAGACAGCCTGGAGCAGGTGTGGAGCAGATGAGGAAGCTGGAGACAAGAGCATTCCACAGCTGAGCCTGGACAGCACTGAGCTAGCTGGGCACAGCTGTGCTGGGTGCTGGTCAGACTGGGCTTCCTGAGCTGTCTTTGGCCAGTATCTGAGAGGCGGGAGTCCTCTGCAGAAGAGCTGTCTAGGGGCTTACGAGGGGGATGGCCTGGGCCCTGGAAGTTGCTCTAATCTTTACCAGCGTTTCACATTTCAGTGTTTTACTTTTAACCATTATAGTGCTTTTGTGATGGTATCTCATTGTGGCTTTAATTTACATTTCCCTAATGAGTAATAATTTCAGGAACTTTTTAAGGGTTTATTGGCCTTTTGAATATTTTCTTTGATGAAGTGTCTTTTGCACATAGTTTTTGGTTTTTTCCTTACTGATTTGTAAGTTTTTTAAGTATGTCTTTTTTGAAATAAGTATATTTACTAGCATTTTCCCTCAGTCAATGGCTTTCCTATTTATTTTATTAACTGTGGTGTCAGGTTGGGATACTGCATATTATATGAGTCACTTCCTCCAATGATGAGTCTCCTGAAGAAAGTAGGTTGTGTACAATCTTGAGAAATGGTCCAGCAGTGGCAGTAAGTCCTGTGGCATGCCCCTCTCAAGTGGTTTACTTTCCTTTTACGAACAATTATTTACTTAATTTTTAGTGTTTATATAGTTTTTTTGTTTTTTTTTTTTTTTTTTTTTTTTTTTTTTGGACAGGCAGAGTGGACAGTCAGAGAGAGAGAGACAGAGAAAGGTCTTGCTTTTTCCGTTGATTCACCCCCCAAGTGGCCGCTGCGGCTGGCGCACCGTGCTGACCTGAAGCCAGGATCCAGGTGCTTCTCCTGGTCTCACTGCACTCCCGGGCCATAGCAGAGAGCTGGACAGGAAGAGGAGCAACTGATACAGAATCTGACGCCCCAACCGGGACTAGAACCCGGTGTGCCGGCGCCGCAGGCGGAGGATTAGCCTATTGAGCCGTGGCGCCGGCATATAGTTTATTTTTTAAGATTTATTTATTTATTCAAAAATCGGAGTTATACAGAGAGAAGAGAGGCAGAGAGAGAGAGAGAGAGAGAGAGGTCTTCCATCTGCTGGTTCACTTCCCAATTGGCTGCAACGGCCAGAGCTGTGCAGATCCGAAGCCAGGAGCCAGGAGCTTTCTCCGGGTCTCCCACGCAGGTGCAGGGGCCCAAGGACTTGGGCCATCTTCTACTGCTTTCCCAGGCCATAGCAGAGAGCTGGATTGGAAGCAGAGCAGCCGGGTCTCGAACCAGCGCCCATATGGGATGCCTGCACTTCAGGCCAGGGCATTAACCCATTGTGCCACAGCGCCAGCCCCAGTGTTCATATAGTTTAAACGCCAAAATTGGGACCAGTGTTGTGGCACAGCAGGTTAAGCTGCCATCTACAATACCAGCATTCCATATTGGAGTGCTGATTTGAGTCCCAGCTGCTGCACTTCCAATACAGCTCCCTGTTAAGGTGTCTGGGAAGGCAGCAAAAGATGGCCCAAGTAGTTGGGCCCCAGTCACCCACATGGGAGATTCAGATGGAGTTCCAGGCTTCTGTCTTCAACCTAGCCCAGCCCTGGCTGTTGTGGTCATTTGGGAAATAAATGAGTGAATAGAAGATTCTCATTCTTTCTTTCTCTGCACCTTTCAAATAAAAACAAATCTTCAAAAAGTAATAAACATCAAAATTTTGAGAATTACACAGTGAGATATTTTTCCCATTTCTACCCTATACCACGGTTACTTTTTTCTTGCACCTCCTTTGTGAGATTTTAAACAAAAATTTTATTTTATTTTATTGAAAGGCTTGAGTGGGGTGGGGTAGGTCTTTCATTGCTGGCTCAACTCTCAAATACCTCCCAAGAGCTGTAGCTGAGTGAGGCATAAGCCAGGAGCCTGGTACTCAGTTCCTGTCTCCCACATGGGGGGAAGGGAACCAAGTACTTGAGCCATCACCTGCTGCCTCCCAGGGTGCACCTTGGTAGGAAGCTGGAATTGGAGTGAAACTAGGACTTGAACCCTGGTCCTCCAGTATGTGATGCTGAAATCTACATGGTATCTTAACTGCTGCACCAAATGCCCACCTTGAGAAAATTTTTTTAAAGATTTATTTATTCTTGAAAGTCAGAGTTATAGAGAGAGAGGCGTGGAGACACACAGAGAAAGAGATCTTCCATCTGCTGGTTCACTCCCCCAGATGGCTGCAAAGGCTAGCACTGGGCCAAACGGAAGCCAGGAGCCAGGAGCTTCGTCTGGTTCTCCCATGTGGGTAGCAGGGGCTCAAATACCTAGGCCATCTTCTGTTGCTTTTCTCAGGCCATTTGCAGAGAACTGGATTGGAAGTGGAGCAGCCAAGACATGAATTTTCATGCCCATATGGGATGCTGGCATCGCAGGCGGTGGCTTTTCCTGCTACATCACAACACCAGCCCCAACCCTGCAAAGGTTTAATGTGCTTATAAGATAATACAAATAATATTTCAGTCTTAAAATAGATGATATCAACTATAAATACTCTTCTGTACCCTGTTTTTTTAATTATTAATATATCTTGGAGAGTTTTCCATATCAGTATAAACAAATATTTCTCAGTTTTCTATTGCTTCATATGGTGTAGATCTCCCATCTGAGAGACAGAATTATAGAGAGAGGGAGAGACAGAGAGAAAGTTCTTCCATCCGCTGGTTCACTCCCAAGATGGCCGCAATGGCCAGAGCTGAGCTGATCTGAAGCCAGGAGCCAGAAGCTTCCTCTTAGTTTCCTATACAGGTGCAGGGGCCCAAGCACTTGGCCATCTTCTGCTTTCCCAGGCCATGGTAGAGAGCTGGATCAGAAGAGAAGCAGATGGGACACGAACCAGGGCCCATATGGGATGCTGTTGCTGCCGGCGGAAGCTTAGCCTACTGCACCGCTGTGCCCCACGCCCATAGTTTCCTTATCTGGCCCTTTGTGGATGGGCATTTTATTTTCCAGACTTTGCTCTTCCTTTCAAACACTGCTTTAACGAGTAATCTTTATATATGTCATGGTGCACATCTGTAACTATAACTGTAGGATAAATTTCTAGAAATGAAATTGTTGATTTAAAAAGCATTTACATGGGAGGATGTTTTATGACACAGCACACAGCAGATTAAGCTGTTGCTTGGGATCCCTGTATCCCATATTGGTGTGCCTGGGATTGAGTCCTTCTTTGGATTTCCACCCATCTTTCTGCTACTGTTCCTGGGAAGGAGCAGATGATGGCACAGTGCCTGGGTTCTTGGCCCCTGGGTGGGAAATCCAGATGGAGCTCCTGGCTCTTGGCTTTGGGCTGGCCTAGCTCTGACTGTTGTAGGCATCTGGGGAATTAATCTGTAGATGAAAGATCTATGTCTCTCTTTCTGTCTGTCAGTCTGCATTTCAAATGAATAGATTTTTTAAAAGATTTATTTATTTATTTGAAAGGCAGAGTTACAGAGAGGCAGAGGCAGAGAGAGAGAGAGAGAGAGAGAGAGGTCTTCCATCTGCTGGTTCACTCCATAAATGGCTTGCAATTCTCAGAGCTGTGCCAAACTGAAGCCAGGAGCCAGGAGCTTCTTCCGGGTCTCCCACACTAGTACAGGGGCCCAAGCACTTAAGCCATCTTCCATTGCTTTCCCAGGCCATAGCAGAGAGCTAGATCAGAAGTGGAGCAGCCAG